AGGCAAGTTAAGCAATTACAATCAAATTATTCATTTTAAACACATCAGGTATTTTTCTGTGCAAAATTTACTTTCAACTGTATGTCAATTGAAAGTACTCCTTAAGCATGTGTTCTTCAGACTTTAGCTGTAGTAATAAATAACTGATACCTGAGTGGTTTAAAGATAAAATCATGGTTTAGAAACTCAGAGACATAGAAATCAAATTCTAATTGTGAAATGTTCACTCTGTGGTCTAGAGAGTCATTTAACTTTTTAAAGCTTAATTTCCTAGATAGAAACATGAGGGGAAACCAAGTACTACATTTGGGGACACAGGTAAGTTAGTGTAGGACGAGAATTTTTGAAAAATGCAGATGATCTGCATTCTTCCTGTCAACCACTTAGATCTCTTAAAAGCACTGTAGCATAGTTAATTTCCATTCAGCTTCCACAGTGTGGCTTTCTTTTCTTCTTTTTCAGATGTGGGGGGCAGTAAAGGTTGGGTACAAGGGAAGAATCAAGTGATTACTGGGGCAGCCGGTTACTAGACTGTTAAAACAATGTTTTAATTCTTAATGGACATCTTAATTCACTAGAAACTTTTAAGTAGACGTGTCAATGATGAAGCTGCAAACATCTACCAGGCTGGTGCATTTTTCATGTGACAGTTGCCTATTGAGGCAACAAGCATTCTCACCACACAAATTGTTCTCCTGCAAGCAAACCACCCAGCTTACCAAAGTCCCTCCAGTAGGCTCCTCCGGGCTTTTGCCTAGTAATCTTCTATCCTAAGTGAATCCAAGCATTTCCTTTTCCAATTCTCTGTAGTGCATCACCAAAATGTAGAAATGAAATTTTCAAACAGGACCACCATAACTTTTTGGCTTCCAATCTTAGTATGATCTTGAAAAATTAATTTTCAAAATCTGTTGTCTGCCTCTGTTTTATATTCTGGAGGTGTTTTCCAAGGTCAGGTTCTACCTAGTTTTAGCACTGAACAATCTCAAAAGATCACTCTGTCTTTCACAAGGAACCTGCTCAAGTTCCTGACCCTCAGTTGTGGTACCCAGGCACACACCATCATCAGCTCCTTTCCTCCAGGCTTGGGTGGAGTCTCTTTCCTCTGTATGAGATCCATCTTTCCACCAACTCCCTGCTGAGGACTCTGTGTCACTTGTCAGTATTGCACCCCAGGATGTATCACTATTCTTGGCTCCTCAGAGACCCTCTCAACGTCTACCAACCAAATGGAAGCCCCTCATCCATCCATCTCAATTTTACTTTTTCCCTCATCTGTAAATTATTTTTTAAATTATGCTCTTTCCTCAGCTAAACTTCTCCATCTAAGTAGAAGGATTTTAATCTTCTACTCTCCTTTTCTTCTCCTAAAGCCAAAATATATTTTTAAGAAAAACCTGTGGGTCTCTTGGGGACTGAAATATATGTGTACCTAGAAAAACCCCATTCTATTCCTGTAGACAGGAGTCCACAATGAGCCAGACAATAATTGGAAAACTTCTTGATAAGATGATACTGCCCATGATTTTAGGTCAAGACAACTTATCCCAAAGTAGTGTAGCTTTATCTGTGTAGTGTAGTTTGCCTTGTAGCTTGTGTCCGTCGTCTACCCTCTTAATATTCCAGTCACACCTTCAACTACATTGTTCTAGTTTCCACCTCCTTCCACTCCCCGGAAATTGCTTTCATGGAAATTCTTCTGATTTACAAACACAGTGGACATATTTTGGATCCCAATGTCTGTGTGATATTGAACAGGTCTCATGCATTGCACTTTCTGTTCTGGTTTTGGTCCCTGTAACCAAATGACTTTGTCCATTTGTCTTTTCTGATTTCTTCCTCAGTATTACACCCAAAATCCTCCTTGCCAGTGTTTCCCACCTTTCTGCCCTTTGCATAGAATCTCAAGATTGGCAGGAAGGAGAGAAATTTCACAGGTGTGTGCAACTATATTCTGTTGTCTTAGCACACCATAACTCAACCTCCATGAAATTCGTTCTGGTATTTTCTATTGAAAATTTAGGTGCTAGAAGAATAATGTCTGCACACAGAAAGCTAAAACTGTAATACTTGTTAAATGTTAATGAAATTTTACATTGTCCTAACTTTAATTGACACTAGAAAATCCAAAGTCGCTTTAGTGGATTTGAATGAAGTTATTTTAAATGAAAACAACACAAGTGTTATAGAAATTTAATAAAGATAGAAACAAGCAGGCTTCTAGGAAGTTAAAGAAGCTTTAACACATGTTCTTTCATTGGAATAACTGAAAAACTTTGAATGTCAGCTTCTAGAGGGTAGGAAGTGTTTGCAAAATTAGTCTTTTATTTATACGCATTACATAAGGATATAGCACTTACCAAAACATCTGGAAAGCATTAAATATATTGTTTTTTGGTAAAGCAATAGCATTTGTCTTATTTTTATCATTTCAGAATGCTAATTTTGTAGCTAGCTTCTCATTATCTTGCTGCCATTTGATAAAAATAAAAGTTGTGCTTATAAAATGATCTTAGGATTCAATTTTCCTCACAACAAAAGGATCTTTTTAGCAGTTCAACAGAGACCATGTATTTTAAAACACAACTTCAGGATATTTAATACTTACTTATATTTAATATTTACTCCAATACTGTGAATTTCAAATTGAAATGGGATGGGACTCATTTGTGAATTGGGTCACAATGTCAAATGCTATAGAAGCCTGTAAATTTTGACCATCTCTAACATCTTAAATGAGATGTTAATGGGGATAGCCATACACTGATTTTTCTGAATTTCTCCCTACTTGTCACACTTTAAAAACTAAAGAAATTTTTTCAGGTTCCCTTGCCCCCAAAATGAACAAAAAAAGGGAAGAGAGAGAGTGAGCATGTTGGAAATTTTGAGTCTCTAAAGAAACACTCATCATGTGTTCTACAGGACAGAACTAAGCCTCTAAAATCCACATTCTGTAATCTATATACTGCTACCTCAGGCAGTGCTTGCCAGATACCAGAAGGATATGATGATTCAATTCCCCACCAATTAAATTGGAAATACTTGAGTATTTGGTCAAAGATAAAAATAGTGTCAAATATGTTCTTGCGCTCCAATAAATCAGGTGAACATTTCTAAATCGGAAATAGGGGTAATAAAATATACCTGCCTTTTTAAAGGGGCCTATGGCTGAATCTGGTCACCCCTCCCTATTCATGTTTAGATTTACAATTGATTTATTATAAGCTGGGCCTGAGGAAAGAGGAAGATGATTGAAGGTACTAGAAAAGTCACTGGTGATTTCCTCTTCTTTCCAATTACAGCTATTGTACTGCACACAGGAAAGTGTGTTTCTCATCTCAAGTACACAGTAGGGAGAAACAAACCTGAGAAAATTAATATTGTTTTCATTAAGTATAGTTAACACAGGCTGCATACTTTAGTGCAAAATAAGAACAAAGAAAATGTACTTCCATTCACAGAAGCAAAGTGAGATAGTAAAAGATATATAATATGTTGATAGATTTAATAAAATGGACAAAGAAACATATAGGTCCATACTGAAAGGACAGTCAGCTTGATTCCAGGATGATCAATCTAGCCAGTCTGAGATGAGCTTCTGTGCCTTCTTAAGCTTCTCTAGAAAGGTATTACTAGGACTATGTACAGGAAACTCCCATTTTTTACAAAGCTAATTTTACATTTCAAAACAAGGAATGTTTATTGTAATATTAATGATAAACTCATGAAAAATTTAAGTATAAAATCATATAGGTCAATAGAAGGAATGTAAATTGAGAGAAAACATAAATTACACTGATTTCATAAATCCATCATTTTTCTATTGTCCAAAAAGTACAAATCTGGCTTTATTATCAAAAACTTATTTGTAGCCACCTTGAAGTTTCTTTAGTCAAAACAACAGGGTATAGTCCTGGTGGCTGTTTTCTTAACTGCTGAGGCACATATTTAAAGAACAAGGAAGATGCCAGCAGATAAATAAGGCTTTTATTTAAATATATCTACATACACTAACGTGCACATTCATTGTTAATGTTCATTTGGTATACGGGACCAGCAATTATTGGGCTATTATTTATCCCATCCCTTACTTGTATCTTAACTGCATTCATTAATTTCCTTATTAATTTATCAAGCACTTAAACCTAGGTTACAACAATGAAAGTTAGTGAATTATCAATAATTGAGGAATCACCCAGAAAAGCCGAGCCTGCCACTGTCTCTCCATTAATGAGGACAGCACAAAAACAAAAGTAAACAGAGTGCAAACAAATTTAAAGCAAGGGAGAATTTTGTCAAAACAGCTGTGAAAAAAAACTGGAGATGATTATTGAATAAAGCTGAGAAACGTCTACCTCGTAAAGCTGATTATTTCTCCCAAGTACAAATAGCATAGCTACCAATAATACTTAAGATACTTGTCTTCCTATTCCTCTTTGTCCTGAATAAACCCAAAATGCAAGTACACTTGTGAGTTGCAATATGGGGATTTACCCTCCGAATTAAGAGAAGATGCAACTTTGTTCCCTAATGGCCAAACCTTTCCAAGGACAGCACAGCACTCGAGGTATTTATCCACAGTAGAATTGAAAGCACAGGTTCATTTTGTGATATTTATAGTAGATGCCTCACAGACAGTTACATGCAAAACTGTAACTAGGAAAAGGCAGGGACTGAAGAGTAAAAGAAAAAGGAAAGGACCCAGGTAAACCACAGAATCATCAAAAGCTAATAATGTAAACAATAGATGAAAAACAGGTATGATGAGCCGTTAATTTACATCTTGAATTTCTATATCACTAATTACTCAGAAAGTCACAAGTACTTTTAGTTACACCGTTCTCTTTCGAGCAGTTGCTCAGAAAATGATTATGAACTAGAAGTGCCATGGCTGGCTCAATTGTTCAACGATAGATGGCTATACTACCAAAGCTTGACTTTTAAATTTATGCCACAGTGAAAGAATTCTTGATAAATCCAACATATAAGGTACATTCTACCTGATATCCACAGAAGACCATCAGCCACATATCCAGCATGACACGAAAGGGACCGGTCAAAGGACTGCACGAAAGTCCATTTGTTCTTCTTGGGGCAGTACCGCTCAACTGTTGGCAGAACCTGCCGCAGCTCATTTCTGCCCCCGACTGCATAGAGGTATTCATCCATGGCACCCAGGACGAAGTGCTCCCGGCAGTTTTTCATGGGTTCTATCTCTGCCCAGGAATTACTCCGGGGGTCATAGCGACAGGCAGTTCTCACAGCACAGGTTCTGCCACTGGCATGCTCCACTTCTCCTCCTGCCACGAACAGAAAGTCCCCCATGACAGCCACACAGTGGTGGCTCCTTCCCACTGGCATGGGAGCCAGCTCACTCCAGTTGGCAACGGCGGCTATGAGGGCATTCTCCTGGTCAACGGGATTAAAGTATCGAAGTTCCTTGACTTTACAGACCTCACGTTTTTTCCCACCAATAATATAGAGAGTGTCCGACTGGAAGCGTGGTTTGGTCCTGCAGGTCTGCCACACGGGCTGTGCATAGATGCTCTGGTGGTATTCCAGGGCCTCGTTGACAAGGGCTGTTGCAGTCTCACTTGCCTGGACCAGCGGGTGCGACAGGGCGACTGTATGGAGAGTATCCACATCCATGAGGCCAAAGCGGATGCACTGCAGGAGCTCATCCATGTACTGGTAATGGCAGTTATGTTCCAGCCACCTCACAGCTAGCTGAAACAGAGGGCAGAGAGATGAGAGGAAAGGAGCAAAGAGGAAAGCCCAGCCACAGTGGCACACAGGCAAGTCCCCGTCTATTCTTTCAGACAATTAATACAATTTTTGCTACAAACCACTATGGCAGTAAAACATTTTGACACTTAAGGAAAGGACTTTCTATATCAGCAGAGACACAAAATAACTCAAGACATTGTTCTAGAAGGTAGGAGCAATGTTAAGCAACACTGATGGCGGCTAATGATATTTAGGGTGAACAGTAATAACTTTTCAAATTATGAAAATACTGTTGTGAAACAGCCTGTTTTCTTACGTTTCATGCATGAGAGGCTTGTGTACCCACCACTAGGAAATGTCAACAATGAGCAGTGCCGTCACAGCTCAAGTAACATGTGTCAACTTGTGAGCCAAGTGCTGTATCACAATAGGAATACGTAAGAAAATACGCGATCATCTGAGACCACAGGGTGTACTTGAGAGAAAATCAATGCGACGCTACTAGAATGATTTAGAAAGAAAAATGACTTTCCCGCACCCCTTTGGTAGGTCTAACAGGAAGCAGAAGAGAAAAAAAAAATAAGATTACGGCTTATCAATTTTATTTGTTTCTTTCAGTTTTCACCTTGAAGACAGTTGTTACCTGCACATGTAAGATACTGACAATTTTAAGATCATTTTCACAAATAGGATACAGAAGAGTTTATCTTTGTATTATGGACAAGATATCAGAATATAATATACCCTTTTAATTTCCCTTACAGATCTTTTTCAAGAACAAAAGAACTTTTGGTTATAGCCAAAGAGAATTTCCTAAAACTAAAGCAAGTTCACTAAGTCAAAAATAATAAAATTAAACATTAATTTTAGAATGCCATCAAAAAATACATTTATGAAACAATGAAGTCATTTAATTAATGTGACAATATTTAAGTTTGCTAAATACTCCCATAGACTAACATAAAAAAGTATGCCTAATGTTTCTAGTCAATATATACAAATTATTCTTAGCAATACCTAATTCAACTAGAACTTCTGAAGTGGATCTGGAAGAGTTAGCAAGAAAAAGCAATGAATTTGCATATTAAGTAATTTTTACTGTGTTTTACGTGCTCTCTAACTCATGGCATTCAGGCTCTGGGCCTCTCTGTTTAGATCATGCCTGGTCTACAGGAGGAAGGATCAGGAAATGTATTCTCACATCATTGTCCCTCAGCAAAATCATCTGGATTTTCTTCTAGTACAAATCATTAGGTTTTCTGAGGCACTGGATGATTCCTGACTGTCAGAGTTTCTGCATTCACTTGAAGAATGGCTTCAAATGGCGAGGTCCATTTTGTGCTTACTTTTTAGCTTCAACATGAAGTAAATTCACTTCTACTATGCAGTGAAGTGACTCTCTTAATTATTATTGAGTGAAAAGAAACAAAAAAAAAGAATGCCCCTAGTTAACAGTGTGGAAGCCCTATGGGAGAAAGATGAATGATACTTTAGATGTTTTATAGAAGATGATATTTTTAAATTTAAATAAGATATCAACCTAACAGGAAAAAAAAATCTAAGTATGGTAACATCAGCAATAATCAAAGTTGTTGTAAAAGAAGAATGTAACTCATGAATCATGAGGTATCTGCCAGAGGTAGAGAGGGTTTTCACATGTGGCACCACAGTCTTTCCCCGCTGGTCCCCCAACTGCAGTTTCAAGGGAGGGGTTCCAATTATTTCTCTAGAGAGATACTTCAACAACTTAATGAATGAATTTTCATTCTTTGCCTGCAGATCCTTCTAAAGTTCCAGGGATAAAGTCATGCTATTCAAGGTCATTTCTTATGCACTAGGTACAATTTTCTGAAACGTAAACTTTGATATTGCCCCTAACTGAGCAATTCCAGTTGATACTGTTTTGCTCTATAAGCAATTTCTCAGCACCCTTACATCCTTATACCTCTGCATTTTTCATACACTGTAGAATATTATCGAAAACAGCACTGGAGAACCCTCAGACAAATATCCATGTCACTACAGCATCTTTTTATAGTATAGTGTTGCCCATTTAATTATTTTTCTCTCTCATAATAAATCAGTTCTTCCTATGTCATAATCAATCTTCCATCCCAGTTAATGTTTATCTTCCTAGCAAATGGTGTCATTAACTGCTTGAGAAGTATACAAGCCTCAACCATGGTCTGCTTTTAAAGAAATCTCTAACTGGCAGTGAAATGGTGACCATTGCGACCTATTACTGAACAGCTTCTGGCTTTCTGTCTGCCACTTCATGTGACCTGGATGATGACATGTTCCACATTCAACTTCCTACATACTAGGTATTACAATTTTTGCATGTTCTCAGGTGATTTTTGTCTTATTTCTTTCCAGCATTTCTAACTTCTTACAGATCTTACATAATTTTCACACTTCTATAATTTACTAACATTTTCAGACTATTTATCTACACTTGGTGGCTTTATCTTTTCTGTATATCAAAGGTGTGTGCAATTTGCAATAAACTATTCTCCCACTGTCTGACCTTACTTGTATATATATGAATTACTTGGCGCTTTTGGACAAAATGCAGGTTTGTATCTTGTAGCCAGAATGAGGGATTTGGAGTGCACAACTCCTACCTGATATAAATGCCAATGGCCTTGCATTGTTAAATACAAAAATTTTAGATGAATTTTTGTTCATAAAAAAGTGTTCCTGTATCATATATTTCCTTCAGAAAACTACATTATTCCATCCACTAGGGTAAATTTCTGTCTTACTAGAGTTAAGCATACTGTTTCCAATGAAGGCATAGAGATGATTAAATTAATATGTAATTAATATATATGATACTTCATTAACTTAATTTTATAAGTGATATGTTTTGAGAGCCTGGTTCCATGAGGTTGATAAATTATAACCGACTGACTTATGTTAGCAGTCACATAAAGTAAGTCAAATATATATAAACACTTCACACTTCTGCTTTTGCAATAATAAATAAATGTAAAGATATTACTATGCTCTCTTTTTACTTTTACAAAAAAACCCCACTGAAAACAAGAATAATTCTGATTCAGTCAAAAATGAAATAAATAGCAAAAAAAATTTTCAAAATAACAGACCACTTCAAAATATTAACTATGGTTTGAACTCAATCAGGACACTATGCACTGCTACGCTGAATTGTTGGAAGGCTGTACAGAGGAATCTCAGTAGTGACTGGAGGGTCTTAGATTTTAAAAAGTCAGAAGACTGATTCCTCACCGAGGCGCCACGGAACCCACAGTTAACTCTGAGCTTGTTTTGACAATTATGCTTGAAAAAGATTATTCTGCAAACTGGCAGCTTTACAATGATGTCACTACAAGGAGAAAGGGCACCTCAGCAGAGGATGAAATCCTGTTCTCTCCTATTCATTGTGACATTGCTGTCCTGCTCCCTTCCTGTAATGCAGGGAGGAAATGAAGCATGTGAAAATCTTACCTCCCACTTTTTTGGTAAAGCCGGCAAGACTGGAAAGGAAAATATTGATTCAGTTTGGGAAGATACAGTAAAGAATACTTAGAAAACACAGTATTTAGGCAAGATTTCCCTACACCATTTGAAACACAGAGGATTGTCCTGTCTAAGAAGAGCAGGAGTTTGCTCATGTACTTGCCTAACTCAATTCATTTGAGCCCAACAGAGAATTGTTTCTTTATAAACAGAACATTAGCTAGAGCTTCATCCAAACTCAATTCACCTGTCTCATCTTCAATATGACAGTCCTTGCCATAAATAGCTCTAAATATTTGTAGCATAAATGGAAAAAAAACTTCACAACTGCTCTTGGACTATTTCTTTACTTTCTCTTGAACAAACAATACAAATTGTTTTGTGGACTTGTTTATCTACCACAGGCTTCAGTTCCCTATTTTATCTTGTCTTTATGGGCTTCTTTATCAAGAGACCTTTATAAGCTCTCTAAAACCTACAATGCCACATCCAGTGCCCTGAATTTAGAGGTGTAAACCCTTCTCCCTCCTTCACACTGTTGGTGCCTGCCACTTCTATTTGAGATTCTTGACAGCCCAATGAACACTGCAGTCTTTTCAGCTTTCAAATAAATAATAAAACTTCCAATACAAAAGAAACTTTAAATTGTACTTTGCTCAAGATTCTCAGTTTTACAGATGAAATAAAATCCATTTGAGATAGATGACTTCACCCAAGTCATGTAAGTAATTAGCAAAAAAAAAAAAAAAGCTGTAACTAGGAACCCAGTTTTTAAATTAAACAATGTATTTTCTACCATATCATCTTGTCACTACTTTTCCATCAATAATTATTTTAAGGTAGAATCCAGACAAATATACTCAAGTTCAATATAAGTTCAATGTTTCCTGATTTAAAAATATAAAGTCTATTTTTTAAATGGGAATACTTTGTTACCAGATAGGTTGACAATATTTTTCAATGAATCTTAAAGATTACTTCAGAAATATACAACAAATATTTAATGGTAATACTTGAGTTTGTAATTAAAAATTATTTTAGAAAAAGAACATATTTCAAGTCAAATTATTATTTCACTTTTTATGGGAATATGTATTTTAATCCCAGGTTATTCCTTGTCAACTAAAGCTAGCCCAAAATAATATGGAAAAGACAACATTTTCTTTTAGTTTTGTAAAACATCTCTACTTTTTGCATTCTTAGGGAATATAATACTAACTATAATAGTATATAATCCTAAATTCTATAAATGTTGCTCTAATTCAATTAACATATGTATTTGGGCCAGAAATGTCGCTCCACCATGATAGTGGGCTTGCCTAACACAAGCAAAGACCTGGGTTTGAGCCCCACAACCATAAGAAAAGAAAAACTAACATACACAAAGTACTCATACATATTTTAAAAATACATCAATAATATGGATAAATGCTACATTTACAAAAATATCAAATCATTGATACGTGATCATTTACTGTTCATGTCCAACACACTCAAGCTGCTGTTTTGAAATCTAA